ACGTACCGCCCTCGACACTTCCCGCTGAAGATCTGCCATCGTCACCGGCGGGCGGTACCCCCCACCACCACCGCGCCCGCGGGGACCCCTCCAGTCCCCCTGACCACCAGGGCGAGCAGGCCAGTGAGGCTGCTGCTGGTATCGCCGCGGAGAATCACGACGGCGACGAGACGACTTGCGATCCTGGTGGGGCGAGGGGGAATGAGGGCGAGACGGTCGGCGGTCAGGCGACGGGAGACGTAACGGCTGACCTGCCGGGGCCACCGGCGCCACAGCAGGTGCGGATTGCCCCGCCGCTGAGGGCGCAACCGACGGAGCCGGGCCGCCAGTGGTGGCGGACGCCGCATTTGTCGACGGAACAGAAGCCGGTACAGGCGCGTCGGGGACGGAAGCAGGCGGTGCAACGGGCGCGCCAGGGACAAGAACTGGGGGATCAGCAACACCCCCAGCAGGAGCAGGCACCAACGGCTCGACGAAGAGGGCCAGGGGAACAGGAGCAGCCGGCGGAGCGGACGGAGCAGCCGCTGGAACAGACGGGCCAGCCCCCGACACGGCAAGGGGATCCGCGGGTGCATGGGGAAGAGTCTTTTCAGCGACTGTTGTCGAGGGCGTCGGAGCCGTCGGTACAGGGGGCTCCGTCGGCATGGTCGCCTTTCCGGGCCCCGACTGAGGCTGGGCGACCACAGCCGACCAGGCGGCAGCGCGCACTGGCGATGGCTCAGATGCACCAGCAATCACCATCTGGAGAGCGGGGAGGCAGCGGGGCCAGGAGGCAGGTTACGAGCGGGACAGGCGGAGGTCCGGAAAACGGGTATCAAGCGGCGGGGCGTAGGGCTTTAACGGCTCTGGAGGCAACTAATGAGGATGACGAGTTAAGGGACCCATCTTATAGGGAAGAATCCCTCCCTCCAAGCGAAGACGAGGGTATCGAGGACGAAGGCAGTACAAGGGAGGCAGCGGGAAGAGGAGTAGCGAGGGTAGGGCTCTCGGCCACGCAAGCAGCACAGGGGGTTCAGCGACCGTCCGATGTCAATCGAACGGGTGAAATTCCAACCCCAATCCTGCCAGGGCGGACGGGCCGCGCTCGACGAAATCGGACCGCTACTACCAATGTCGCGACGCGCCAAACCACTCCAACTCCCCGCTATTTTTCCCCTGACGAACTGGCGAAGCGAGCAGACCTGTTCGCAACCATCTCGAGCTGGGACATCGCGGCACTCTGCGACAGTCGCCAGCCTTCGCTGACACGCCGTTTACCGCCTAATCTGTGCCAACTGTTCTCGCTGGCGCTACTGACACCGTTACTCCACCTATCGCGAAACCCTGAATCCGAGGAGGGTTGGCGCCTGTTGCTGTTCCTCCCGCGCCTAACACTTCGCCAGACCTCGCCACAACGACCGAACTGGCCGGGGGTCAAAGCCCGGCTCCGAGCCTTTCAGCGCGGCGAATGGGGGCAGCTGTACCAGAACGCGGTCGACGCGGTCAACACACCCCCACCGCCACGACACCAGCCTGACACGACCGGAGTCATCAGCCGAGCCGAGGGCCTGGCGAAACGTGGCAGCCTACGCAGGGCCGTGCTGGCCCTGGAGTCAACACCCGTCTGCACCCCGAGCCAGGAAATATTGGAAGAGCTGCGTCAGAAGCACCCGCCAGCAGTACCCGAAGCAGTGACCTGGCCCGAGCCACCAGAGTCAAAACTGTTCATCACCCACGCTGAGTTCGCCAAGATTCTTGGAAGGTGCGAGAACGGGGTGGGGGCCGGACCTTCAGGTACGACATTTGAGCACCTACGCGACGCGGCGATCACCAACGGAATGGTTAGCACCCATCTGCACGCCTTGGTCAATACCATGCTCGGAGGGAATTTGCCAGGCCCGGTCGCAAAAATCCTGACTGCGTCACGGCTCATAGCTCTGGCCAAGCCTGGGGGAGGAGCCCGGCCAATCGCGATAGGCGAATGTTTGACAAGGCTGACAGCCAAGGCAGCCCTGATAGCCATGGGAGAAGCTGCCCGCGAACATTTCCTGCCAATTCAGTACGGCGTGGCAGTGCCAGGTGGAGCGGAGGCAGTAATACACGCAGCCAGGGCATTCTTGGATGCCCGTCCCGACAGCCTGGTCCTCCAAGCCGATATTTCGAATGCATTCAACAGCATTTCGCGACGTGCCATCGCCACTGCGTTACAGGAGCCCGGACTCTCGCCACTACAGCCATTTGTAAAACTAACTTACGGTAACCCGTCGCAGCTGTTCTTCGACACTGATTTCATCTGCGAACCGCTGCAAAGTGAACGGGGCGTTCGGCAGGGAGATCCACTAGGCCCGTTACTGTTTGCAGCGGGAATACACCCCACGCTCTGTGAGATTACAGAGGCACACCCCAACGTGCTCTGCTTGGCGTATGCGGACGATGTCACCTTCCTGGGTGACACTTCGTGCACTGTGGCAGCTTTCACAGACTTCACAGCCAAGCTGGCACGCCTGGGCCTGACGCATAATCCGCAGAAATGTGCGGCCTGGAGCTCGATCACAGTCACACAAGCACAACTCCCACCCGGGGTGCCGGTTTCAAAGGACGGGGTACGGCTCCTGGGTAGCTACGTGGGGACGGACGCCGGAGCAGCTAAGTTCCTAACCGAACAGCTAGCCGAGATGACAAAGCCGCTGCCACTAATAGAACGAGCTGACCCCCAGGTAGCCGCGCTGCTACTCACGCGATGCATTTCTAGACGAGTAGCCTACCTCATTAGAACGACACCGCTCCACCTACTCCCCCGCGACACCTGGAGCCAGTGGGGTCGGGACCTGCTCACTACCTTACTCACCTCCTGCGACATCCGCATGCCAACTTGCCGCACTGAGCAAGCGCGTGTGTGGGAGCAGGCGTCGCTGCCCACATCGTTGGGTGGCATCGGCATTACAGACCCGCTCGTTGAAGGGATCTACGGTTTCACAGCGAGTTTCACTCAAGCGGCGCTGTTCTTGTCCTCCCTGGCGCTAGCACCGGAGAATGCTTTGACGGTCGCTCAGAACCACATGCTGCTGCCAAGAGACGACAGCACGCCGATGCATTCTTGGCTCAAGGAGTGCGAAGCGGCTCTGCCACTAGACGCGCGCGAGATCCTGGAGAAGGAGCGGCTGGAGCGATCGGATATTCGGCTACAACATGTGCTCGGGCTAAAGGTGCACGGAAGCAGATACGCTGTACAGGTCCAGGCAACCAGGCGCATGCGGCTGAACCCACTCTCAGGCCACACGCAGCGTATGTTTTCGCTGACAGGGTATGGCACCGGCGATTGGCTGACCTCGATCCCCATTGAACCCACCAGACGGGTAGGCCCCGTACACTTCGCCAACGCCGTTCGATTCCGCCTGGCCCTCCCCTTTTCAACCCCTAAGAACTGCGACTGCGCGGACAAGACCGCCATCACTGATCCCCGCCTGCCGAACCATCTCCTCCGCTGCGGCTTGGGCAAACACCGCATCAACACCCACAACGAGCTACGGGATGCGTGCATTAGCATGGCGCAGCACGCAGGTTTCATTGTTCACGGCGAGTCGGCCGCCCATTGCCCTATCGAGGAACAAACCGCCGACTTTACCATGACGGATAGAAGCAGTGGGGCGGTTTATGTCTGTGATGTCACCATCACGGACCCCATCAGCACGAGGGACCCAGAGGCGCAGAAAGGCAGGGGATGGGCGGCACGGGAACAAGCGGATAAGAAAATCCAGCATTACGCCAACCGGCCGGAGACGGTTGGCTTCTTCCCATTGGCAGTCGACACCTATGGCTGCCCATGCGCGGAAGTACCAACCTTCCTGAAGCTACTTGCAGACACGGCGGCTCGGCGCCACTTTAACGCCGACTCTAAATCCTTTTATGCCGCCAAGTTCCTGCACCAGTTTCGGCAGCGATGGTCAGTGGCCCTTCAAAGGGCCCAATCAGTGGGTCTTCTACTCAAGTTGGGCGAGGCGGCAGCAGCAGAGAACCCGCCTGTAGGGGGTATTGGTCAAGAGTTACACCTAGGGGACTGTTTTGCGGTGGTAGAGCCCATCTTGGAGCTCTAGGGGAATAGTGAGTAGGAATTGGTGCTTTGTTTGTTTGTTTGTTACATCCATACAATGCATGCTTGTACCTTGCTGCTATATCAATACAAGGACCATTTGAGAGAGAGAGAGAGAGAGAGAGAGAGAGAGAGAGAGGTAGAGAGCGAGAGAGAGAGGATTAGCCTCTCCCCTTCTACCCTCTGCCCCCTGCTTTTTGCCCTCTGCCATGAGTACTTAAGGCTACGGTGGCCTCTTCATCTATCATTCTTTCTGTTAGTGCTGAAAATTTCGGCGTGCTCGTTCGAGAGAGCGAGAGAGAGAGGATTAGCCTCTCCCCTTCTACCCTCTGCCCCTTGCTTTCTGCCCTCTGCCATGAGTACTTAAGGCCACGGTGGCCTCTTCATCTCTCATTCTTTCAGTTAGTGCTGAAAATTTTGGCGCTTCACGCCGGCGCTCGCGTGCGCGGCCTACGGCCGCGCGTTAGGGAACGACAAGGAGACAATAAGAATGACGGTCAACATGACAACAGCAGCAAGTACATCAAGCAAGGACTACTAGGCAACAAGCAATGGAACGGGTCTACACACGCGCAAAGGGGGCTCCTACATGCAGTCGGCCCCAAGCTCACCAAGCGTTTTGCGCGAGGTCAGCCACATCTGGTGGACCACTGACGCGATGGCGCCAACAACGTCAACTGGAGTGCCACGCGTTGCAACAAGCGTCCTCAGATCCAGGACCTTCACAGCCAGCTGGTTGGGCGAGGCTACAACCGCGGAGGGCGCTACCGGCAATGATGCGACAAACGAGAATAGTGTTGACGCCGCCGCGTGACATTTTGCTCGCGACCTCTGAGAGAATGTGCTCGGCGGGTTCACCGACATGGAGTCAAGGGACTCCACAAGGAGCATGGAGTCATGGGACTCCAGAAGGATCAAACCAAGACTCCGCATGCACTCCGACAGCGACCACAGGCATGCTAGGGTCGCCGTGGGCACTTCCTTCATCGGCGGAGGAAGGGCGGACGACCGAGCTCGGCGTGCGGACACGGCAAGATCGCGAAAGTAGGGAGGGGACGTGGCGGAGCAAACGGAGCCCACGGATCCCCGCCAGCAGCACCAACAAAGCCATCTCCCGCAGGCAGCGGCCGATCTGAGGGCGCCGGGGAACCAACAGGATTGTGCGGCAGAAGTGCTGCAAGAGGAACGACGCGACCAGAGGGCGGAATAGACTGCGACGACGATGCAACATTCGAGCGGTGGAGAGCTTTCTCCACGCCGTCAAGCTTCTCCAACACACGCTCCATCTCGGACAGTGCGGGACGCGCTGCACCACCGCGTCCATATCCCCCTCGACGCCCGCGTTGACCGCGACCACTTGCGTCCGAACGCGCGGGCGATTGGGGGCGGGATGAGGCGTGCTGACGGCGACGATCACGGGATCGGCCCTTGCGACGAGGAAAGTCGAGCCGTTGGCGCTTTGCAGGACGAGGCGAACGAGGAGGCGAACGCGGACGGGAGGAATGGTGAGCTGGCGATCGGTCGCGAGAAGGAGTACGAGCGGGCGAACGATGTCGGCGGGATCCGCGGTCGCGTGACCGGCTACGTGATACGGCGCGACGAGGCGATTGTGGCGAACGAGGCAGGCGCGGAGATCGTGACGGTCGCGGCTCAAGGAGACGACCGCCACGGCGGCTCCCCTGCCTATCGTCGCGCGCCTCAGACGGACGACGACGAGGTGATCGTCCCGGGCGCGCCGCAGCCTCTACGCCGGAGCGCATGACGGACGCCTCGCGGGCAGGCTCCTTCGGCAGCGAGGACTTCCCCCCTCGAGGAGCCAGATCGCACCGCAGAACCTCGAAGCGGCGACGTATCTGATCGGCAGATGCCATTGGAGCAACGGGCACGCTCGCAGTAGGACGCGCGGGGGGAAGCGGAAGGGGAGCAGAACCGCTCTCCGCGACACACTCGCGACCAGGGCCGCCGTCAGCAGACATTGGAGCGCGGGGAGGATGCCGCTCGCTCAGCGGGCGGTCGACGTGGCGGACGGAGAGCAGCGGGCGGAGGACGGGCTAGCGGAGGGGGACCTGAGAACGTGGTGAGTGTGGTGCTGTCGCGAAAGAAAGAGCGAGAAGCACCTGAGTCAAGTGTGAAGGTGTGCAAGGCCTCAGCAGGCGCAGTACCAGAGAGAGCAGACTCACCAGCACCTGGAGCGACAGACTCACTAGCACCTAGAGCAGCAGCCTCACCAGTACCTGGAGCAGTAGACTCTATACCTGGTTCGGGCGGCACACACAGGTAACAGTCACCCTCAGCACTAATAGTCACAGCATACATGGCAGCAAGGATAGCATCATAGTCAAGAGCAAAGATATCAACATTTTGCCTAAGCAGATCAGCCCAGCTAGGGAGCTCAGCGGCGTCAGGAAACTGGATGCGCCAGGCGTCAGAAAGGCGACCGAAACAGCGCTGCGACGTGTGTGGCCCTCCGCACGTCTCCCCACGGCGCCCGCCGGTACGGAGAACGTACGTGCAGGGACCAGCACCCCCAGACCTCCCACGCCCAGCGTATCACTCACGAAGCTGCTCGGGCGACGGGGTCTCGCGGGAACGCGGCTGCTGCTGGCGCTGGCTGCCGCCAAAGTCTCCACGCTGCGCAGCTCCACCCCGACCAGCACCACTGCCTCCGCCACCTCCTCCGCCGCCTCCACCGTCGTTGCCGCTGCCTCCACCAACGCTGCCTCCACCACCGCTGCCGCTGCCTCCACCACCTCCACCGCCGCCACCGACGCCCCCACTCCCACCACCACCCTTGCCTCCACCCCCACCCCCTCCGCCTCCTCCACCACCACCACCGCCGCCCCCGCCATCCCCTCCACCACCCTTGCCCCCCTTGCCCTTGCTGCTGCGGCGCCTCCCACTGGGAGCAGACGCAGCCCCGACCACCTCGGTGTCAAGGAGGTCAACAGCAGCAGCAGAAGCAACAAAGGGCAGAAGGGGAACGGGGGAACACCCCTCAAAGAACGGGGCGCGGGGGTCGCCGCGAGAAGCACCTACAGCAACTATACTCTTCTCAGCTGCAGTGAGGCGCTCCTCTAGCAGGTCGACGGTGAGCGTAGTGGGGCAAAGGGAGAGAAAGTGGTCCCTGACTGAGGAAAGGGAGTCAGGGAGACGGGTGACTAGGTAGAAGAGGGTGATGTACATGGGGGGCGGGTTCTTGGCGCAGAACTCGGGGGGAAGGGCAGCGCGGTAGCGGGTGTCACTAGTCCGGAGGTGAGTAATGAGGTCAGCGACTGTGGCAAAGGCGGTCAGGTCAGGGAACAGGTACGGTAGCATGAGGCGGCTGAGGGTAGTAGTGGCAGGGGAGGAGTAGCGCGATACGACAGCGTCATACAAAGACTTAGCAGTCTTGTACTGGCCAAAGTGCGCGCGCTCAGCAAAAGGCGAGTGACTACGAACAGCAAGGCGAGCAACAGCGTCACGAGTTGTCCACTGCGAGTGAACTGTACTGTCAGCATCGGCAGCAGGTGCAGCAGAGGCGCTAGACGTGAGATCAAAAAGCGAGACTCCGTCCTTGCTATCGCACTGAAGAAACAGCTGCAGATCATCTACCCAGACATTGAAATCAACAGCAGGGCCCTCAGCATCGAAGGTAAGAACCGTAGGGCTAGCCATGGCAGCAGTAGCAGCAGTGGCAGCAGTAGTAGCAGTAGCAGCAGAAACAGCAGCAGCAACAGGAGCAGCGCGGTCAGGGCAGCGCGGCTCAGTAGGGCAGTGCAGCGCGGCTTGGCTGGGCGGCGCGGCTCGGCTGGGCGGTGCGACCCGGCGGAGCAGCGCGGCTCGACTGGGCAGCGCGGCTCGGCTGAGCGGCGCGGCTTTGCAGAGCGGCCAGCAAGCAGGTGCGGGTGGCGCGCTTAGGGTGGGTGCTCACCAGGGGCGAGCAGGGCAGGTGCGACGGCGGGGCCTCAGCGGCGGCGACGGCGGCGGTCGCAACGGCGGCTGCAGGCTCGACGGCGGCAGCAGGGCTGCAACGGCGGTAGCAGGCACGCCGGCTGCTGCAGGCCACGGGGCCGCGACGGCGGCTGAAGGGCAGGGGCCGCGACAGCGGCTGCAGGGCTGGGGCCGCGACGGCGCCTGCAGGGAAGGGGCCGCGACGGCGGCTGCAGGTAAGGGGCCGCGACGGCGGCTGCAGGTCAGTGGCCGCAACGTAGGGCGGCAGGGCAGGGCCGCGACTTAGGGCGGTAGGGCAGGGCCGCGACGGCCGACAAAGCAGGGCCGCGACGGGCGACGGGTCAGGCAGGGCCGCGACGGGCAGGGCAGGCGCGAGGCGCGCGACAGGGCAGGAAGGCGCGGTAGCGCGCTTCGGGCAGGGCAGGAAAAAAAATCGTGGTGGGCCCTTGAAAAAATTCGTTCCCACTAGGGAACCTGCTCAGAATACCATATGAAAATAAGGTCGTATCCCTGGCTGGTGGCAAGAAGTTGGTGGCAAGAAGTTTCCGCGCGCCGGGGGTTGCGGCGGTGGTGTTGGCGATGCATTTCACAGCGAGGACTCTGCTCGCGTTTGATTCGTTTCGAAAGGCTGGGAGTGGTTTCCATGAGGTCCCCTCAAGTTCAACATTCGTTGTCTGTACACCCTCTTTCTCGCCACACTGGCAATGAGATTCACAGGCTACAGTGCGCAGGTATGCTTGGAACTTAGCGGTCTGGTGCTTGCCACCGAACCCCAGGTAGGTGCCGGGCAAAGGCACTCCATGTGAACGGTACACAACGGTTTTAAGAAGGAAACTTGCTTTTGCGTACGGCTAAGTCTGGCAGATGTGCTTATATGGTATATTCTGAAACCATTTTGGACGCATTGATGTGTGTGCAGCTGGTGTGCCAATATGGCCAATGCCATTTTGGCGCGAAACTGGGTGTATCTGGAGGATCGTTCGGCACGTGGGGAATGCGATGGACTGTATATTACCCAAAATATGCCACGCTGGACCTTTTACTTCGGACGTGACGCAGTTTTTGCACTTTTCCGGGGTTCCCATCCCATTGCAGGAACGCCATCGCAGGATCCCGCGGGTCACCAAGACGAGGACCCCGAGGGAATCCCGCCCTGGGGTAAGCTGTGGGTAACCTAGGGTGCTTTTAGGCCCAGGCCTGGGCTGACGCGCCTGCAGAACAAGGCCCTAATGATTCCTACGCGTGAGATTAGTTCGTGAAAAAAGCTATTTTTGTGGAGTAGCACGTACTAGGTGACATCAGTCGACGGTACTAGTGGTTTCACGATTTTTTTGTGACATTCGCGAAGCAGCACATGGCGGAACAGAAGACCTGCCGCGGACCCGGAGGTGCTCCGGCGCGAGCCCCAGCGTGCTGCCGCCGCCGCCCTCGACGTCGCTTTTCGTTTGCGGTGCCACCAGCGCCGCGCCTGCCCCTTGTGCTACTAGCACTGCTCCTTCCGTCCGTGCTCTTGCCGCGCGACCAACTGCAGCGCGCAACGGCACAGGTAGTACGCGCGCGCGTCGTCACGACGGTTAGATCGCCTGTGCGTCTCTGCGACTGTTGAGGCGCAAGTGATCACATCGTGTACGTTCTCTGTTGCCTCGCCTTCCGCCGCCAGCTTGTCTCTCCTCCTCTCTCCCCCTTCCTTCCCTTTCCCGATCGCATCTTCTCTGTTCCCTCGCATGACGCGGCAGTTTCCTGGCGGCTACCTCGATCCGCGGTTCGTTTCGTGCATGCTGAGAGCACACACTTGCCTCGTCAATAGCGCGGCGTACACCTGCTACACCTACAACACCTCCTCCGTGTACAACTGCTCCTGCACCTACATCTCCTCTCACTGCACCAAATGGAATGGTGCGATCCCTGACTGTATAAGGCGTACTGAGTTGGCACTGAAGTTCCTGTCCCCCCCGCTCCATCCCTCCCTCCCTCCTGTTAGAATATCTCTCCTCTTGTAACCTGCATATATGCTATAGGATAGGCTAGAGATAAACACCCAAACTTAGTTTGGGTGTACAAACAGGGGTAACCCAGTTTGTAGGTTGGAACCCAACCTTGGTCCAATTATTGGACACCAAAAGGTTGGGTTGGGTAGAATTATTGGCTCCCTCCAATAATGTTGGCCCAACCCCACCTTGGCCAACATTATTGGACCCCACCAATAATCACCCAACCCAACTTCTTGGTTGGGGTCCAATAATGCCAACCTAGGCTAGTATCCAACCCCCAACTATGTATACCCCATCATTCTCAATCAAAGTATCAACTTCTATTCTAACTCCTATTTCCCACATGGTATAGAGCTTACTATCCTAGGCCTACTCTCGTTCCAAAGGCCCACCCGGCCGCCGCAACCCCCTTCATATTTTTTTTCCCGGCTCCTCCGCCACCTTCCCCCTCCCCCCCTTAGCGCTCTCCTTTTTCCGCAGCCTTGCTGCTGCCTTCGCGCCTGCCGTCGCCACGGCCTCACCAGCCGCCGTCGCCCGCGCCTTCCCCACCCGCGGCCTCGTCGCCGCCTCCGCGCCTGCGTCCGCCGCGGCCTCGCCAACCACCGCCACCTCGCGCCACTCCGCGGCCTCGACGCCGCCTCCGCGCCTGCGTCGCCGCGGCCTCGCCAGCCGCTGCCGCCCGCGCCGCTCCCCTCCGCGGCCTTGACGCCGCCTCCGCGCCCGCGTCGCCGCGGCCTCGCGAGCCGCCGCCACCCGCGCCGCTCCCCTCCGCGGCCTTGTTGCCGCCTCCGCGCCCGCGTCGCCACGGCCTCGCTAGCCGCCGCCACCTCGCGCCGCTCCCCGGCCTCGTCGCCGCCTCCGCGCCCGCGTCGCCGCGGCCTCGCCAGCCGCCGCTGCCCGCGCCGCTCCCCTCCGCGGCCTCAACGCCGCCTCCGCGCCCGCGTCGCCGCAACCTCGCCAGCCGCCGCCGCCCGCGCCGTTCCCCTCCGCGGCCTCGACGCCGCCTCCGCGCCCGCGTCGCCGCGGCCTCGCCAGCCGCCGCCGCCCGCGCCGCTCCCTTCCGCGGCCTCCACGCCGCCTCCGCGCCCGCGTCGCCGCGGCCTCGCCGGCCGCCGCCGCCCGCGCCGTTCCCCTCCGCGGCCTCGACGCCGCCTCCGCGCCCGCGTCGCCGCGGCCTCGCCAGCCGCCGCCGCCCGCGCCGCTCCCCTCCGCGGCCTCGACGCCGCCTCCGCGCCCGCGTCGCCGCGGCCTCGCCGGCCGCCGCCGCCCGCGCCGCTCCCCTCCGCGGCCTCGACGCCGCCTCCGCGCCCGCGTCGCCGCGGCCTCGCCGGCCGCCGCCGCCCGCGCCGCTCCCCTCCGCGGCCTCGACGCCGCCTCCGCGCCCGCGTCGCCGCGGCCTCGCCGGCCGCCGCCGCCCGCGCCGCTCCCCTCCGCGGCCTCGACGCCGCCTCCGCGCGCGCGTCGCCGCGGCCTCGCCAGCCGCCGCCGCCCGCGCCGCTCCCCTCCGCGGCCTCGTCGCCGCCTCCGCGCTCGCGTCGCCGCGGCCTCGCCAGCCGCCGCCGCCCGCGCCGCTCCCCTCCGCGGCCTCGTCGCCGCCTCCGCGCTCGCGTCGCCGCGGCCTCACCAGCCGCCGCCGCCCGCGCCGCTCCCCTCCGCGGCCTCGTCGCCGCCTCCGCGCTCGCGTCGCCGCGGCCTCACCAGCCGCCGCCGCCCGCGCCGCTCCCCTCCGCGGCCTCGTCGCCGCCTCTGCGCTTGCGTCCGCCACGGCCTCGCCAGCCGCCGCCTGCGCCATTCCTCCACCTCCCCACCGCTTCCGCCACCTTCGCGCTTCCGTGACCACTGCGGGTCCACCCGCAGCCGTCCCTCATGGCTAACCCCATGCCCTCCCCCTCCCCCCTCCCTCCTCCTATTGATACTTCCTCCATTGACAAACTACAGCTTGCAGCCGACAAATCTGCCATTAACTGGCACTCGTTCGTCGGCAGCATCCGACGAGTCCTCGACGATGCGTGGATCCCCCCCTACCGCGTCCTTGACGTCATCCTCCGCCGCCCCCATGCCCTCCCCCCCACCGAACCTGACCACCCCGGCGAGACCCCTCCTCTCCCTCCCCCTCCTGGCGACCCTCCCCTTGAGCCCGAGCTCCAGACCGCCGCCGACCAAGCCACCGCAGATGCCGATTTCATTATGCGTCGCCGTGCCTACCTCATCCGCAAAGCCGAGTACGATGCAGTAGCTGATGCCTACGCCCAGGCGGTTGCTGGCCGCAATGCTCACCTCGCCGTAGTCGCCAAATACAACGACGATATGGCTACCTTCACTCCTAAGTTCATCGCCTGGTCAGCCGCTGACAACCGAGCATGCACCGTCATCCTTGGTGCTCTCCCTGACTCCCTCATGCGCCGCTTCCAGGCCCGGGAACTCCGTGCCTCGGTGATATGGGCAGAACTCCATGCTATGTTCGAACGCCGCGACATCAACTCAGTGGGAATCCTCTTCCAGGAATATTTTTCTATTACCCTCGCCACCTGTGACGGAGCAGTAGACTATGTCGGCCGCATGCGAGAGGTAGCTGATCGCCTCGAAGCTCGCCAAGCCGGTCTCTCCGAACCCCTCCAAATCCATCGCCTCCTCTTCAACCTCACCCCAGACTATGAATCCCGCCTTCACGCCTTTACCGAGGCCAATCCCATGGCCGATCTCGCTTCTGTTGAACAGTGGATCATCGATACCGAAGTCAAGCTTCGCACCCCTATGGTCAACCTCGCCTCCTCCCAACCTTCCTCCTCCTCTCTCAACGCTACCCAGCCCCGCAAGCAGGGCAAAGGCAACGGCAAAGGAGGAAGTGGGGGCAAGGGAGGCAGCGGTCAAGGAAACAGCAGCGCAAGCAGCCGTGGTGGCTCCACTGGGGATGAGCACGGCACCCCCAGTCAGGGCGGTCCCTCTGGGAACCGTGGACCCCGCCCTGGCACTCTCCCTCCCTGCACCTATGTCCGTCGCTACGGTCCCCGGGCAGGGACACCCTGCGGTCAAACCAACCATCCCCCTAACACTTGCTTCAAGGCTCTCGATGATGCCTGGTACGCACGGGGCAATGTTGGCACACCTCCCCGCTAGGGTACCGTCTCCCCGCGTCCCTCCCCTGCTGACATCCAAACCAACCCTGCTTATCTCCCCGCCCACCTCCGCCTCCTTGCTCCCCCACACCGTTCCTCAATCTTCACCAGCAACATCTTCTGCAGCAGCAGCAGCAGCAGCTGTTCCAGCAGCAACCACCGCCGCAGCAGCAGCAGCAGCAGCAGCAGCAACCCCCATGGGGACCCAGGCTCCCACCCCAGTGGGGACCCAGCACTCCCCCCTGGCAGCAGCAGCAGCTGAACTTCAGCACGGCAGCCACAACTGCTCAGACCTCCCCTGCTCCCCTGTGGGGTGCCCCACCTCCTCCTGGTAGCGTTGTCACTCCCCTCACCCAGGAAAGTTTTCTTGGCAACATTGCTCTTTCCCCCTCTCTTCCTTCCATGTACCCCTCCACCATTAATGAAACCACTTTCCAGTACTCGGTGTCTTCCTCCTCCTCCCCACCCACTCTGGACTTCGTCCTTGATAGTGGGGCCACTGAGACTGCTCTCAAGGATGCTGGTACACTCACACCCCTCTCTCCTCCCACTCAGGTTCACGGTGCTGACAGCAGTTTCACCATCCCATGCACACATCTCTCCACTCTCCCCTGCACAATCTTCCCCTCCGGTAAGGTAACTGGTGTCCACATCCCCACTCTCCGAAACAACCTCCTCTCCCATCGGGAAATCCAGAATGCAGGTATCACTGCCGTCTATCCAGGTAATGCCACCTACTGTGACCTCTATCACACCGCCACCGGTCGCTTCCTTCTACGCATTCCCCTCTGTCCCCGCACTCGCCTCTACACTCTCCGCACCCCTTGGCCATCCTTCTGCCATGTCACCACTCGTGCTGGCACCTCCACTAACCCTCCCCATCCCCCCACCTCACCTCCACCCCAGCACCAGCAACAGCAGCAGCAGCAGCCGCAGCAGGGGCAGCATCCGCAGCAGCGGCAGCAGCCGCCGCAGCAGGGGCAGCAGCAGGGGCCGCAGCAGCAGCAGCCGCCGCCACGGGGGCAGCAACAAGGGCCGCAGCAGCAGCAGCCGCCGCCGCGGGGGCAGCAACAGGGGCCGCAGCAACAGGGACCGCAGCAGCAGCAGCAGCAGCACCAGCAGGCGCCGCAGCAGGGGCAGCCGCAGCAGCAGCAACAGCAGCAGCCACCTCCCCCTCTCCCACCCTCACTCACTCCAACCCCCTCCACCTCCGACCATCTCTCCCACCCCGCTGTACTGCTACATCACCGACTCGACCACCCCAATTTCACCGCTCTCCGCACTGCCATCACCTCTCGCCTCCTTCACAGCCTCCCTCCCACTCTCCCTCCCCTCCCTTCCTCTCCAGCCCCTCCATGCCCCTCCTACATCCACGGCAAACTCAAACAGTCTCCCCACCACAGCCACCCATCCTTTGCTCCCGCCCCAATTGACCTAGTCCATATGGACCTCTGGGGACCCTCCCCCACTCGCTCCCGTCAGGGCCATCGCTACATGCTGGTCCTCGTAGACGACCACAGCCGTTACTCCATTTTCCTCCTCCACACGAAAGACCAGGCACCAACTGTGATCACCCACTGGGCAGAGCAATGCCGCGCCCACTTCAACCATCCCATCGGCCGCCTTCACTCTGACGGTGGCGGAGAATTCCTCAACCGCACCCTCTCCCACTACTATGCCACCCATGGCATCCAACAGACCCACACCCTTCCCCACTCCCCGCAGCAGAATGGTGTCGCAGAAAGCCGCTTTCGCGAAATCACCAAAAACGCTCGTTGCCTCCTCGCTCATGCCTCCACCCCTCCCTCCCTCTGGGGCTATGCTCTGCTCCATGCTGCCCTCCTCCTCAACCTTCACTCCCATCCTCAACACACTACCATCACCCCCACGGAACTCTGGTCAGGCACGAAACCTGACGCTGCCGGTCTCCGTGTCTGGGGCTGCAAGGCATACGTTCTTATCCCTCCTTCCGACCGCACCCATGGCAAGCTCGCTTCTCGCGCCCTCGAGTGTGTCTATCTCGGACACAACCGCGACTCACCTGGCTACCTCTTCCTCCACCCTCCCTCCGGTCGCCTCATCCGGAGCATTGATGTCGTCTTTGACGAAACCACCCCGTACTACTCCTCTCCACCACCAGACCCCCTCCCTTCTCCTACTCGTCCCCTCGCCTGGACCGACACTGTCCTCCCTCCCCTCCTCCCTCCTGCGCCTCTACTGCCACCTCTCCCTGCTCCACCTCCACCACCCTCCTCTGCTGACATCTACGATCCTACTACACCTGCATCCCCTGCCCACTCCGCCGCCCCCCCTCTCCCCTTCCCCTCTTCCCCTCCCTCTCCTTCATCCCAGCAGCAACAATAGCAGCAGCAGCAGCAGCAGCAACAGCAGCAGGGGCAGCAACCGCCGCAGCAGCAGGGGCAGCAGCAGCTGCAGCAGCAGCCGGGGCAGCAGCCGGGGCAGCAGCAGGGGCAGCAGCAGCAAGAGGAGCAGCAGCCGCAGCAGCAACAGGGGCTTCAACAGCACCAGCAGCAGCAGCAGCGGAGGGCGACTGCCCGCTCCTCACCCTTTCTTCTCCCTCGCATGCACACCCGCTCCCTTGATCCCATCCTCGGCACGCCGCCTTCTCCCTCCCTCAACCTGCTAGAGGACTTCCATGAGGAACTCACTATGGTCCAGCGCCACACTCCCTCTCTCACCCCCCTCTACCCTGGCTTCCTCGGCGCTCTTATCCTTGCCGCAGTCTCCGCTCCCACCATCTTCGTCCCCTCCACCTTCCAGGAAGCTATCACCTGCCCAGATGCCGACAAATGGATAGCCGCCATCTTCCTGGAATGTGAGGCCTTCATCCACAACGACTCTTTCATCGACGTGCCCCTCCCTCCTGACGCCAATCTTGTCGAGGGCAAGTGGATCTTCCGAGTAAAGCAGCTGCCGGGAGAAGAGCCAGTCTACAAGGCCCGCTATGTCGCCAAGGGCTTTACACAAACTTGGGCTGAGGACTACTGGTTCACATTCGCCCCTACCGTTAAGCCACCTACCCTTCGCGCCCTTCTCGACGTTCCGCTACTGAAGCGGAGGCTGCGCCATCGCCTACAGTCGAAGTCGAAGCGGGCCCGCGTGGTGCTCTCTGACGACGACAGTCCGGGGGAGGAGCGTCGCCCGAAACTCACCGCTGCGGAGAAGGGAAAAGCCAAGGTCGCGGAAGCCCCTGCTAAGGCCCCTGCTCGTCGCCGCACAAGCAACAAGAAGCGGACATCCGACGGAGACCCGGGATCTAGCAAGGGTGCGGCTAAGAAGAAGGCGAAGAAGGCGCCGAATCCTGACGACATCGTCGTGAACGAGACTCTGGGCAGCGACGATGAGTACGCGGCGGCGGCGGGCCCGATTCCCACGTTCCCTGAGATGGTCACGCCGAAGGACCCCACCCTCCATAATCCCAACACCCGCCCACCTTCCCCTCGCAGCAAGGACACTACGAGGAAGCGCCGCAGTTGGACCGTGCGTGAGAAGCTTAAGTGGGCGCGCCGCTATCTGGAGCTCGGCTCCTTGAAGAAGACGAGCGTGGAGTCAACCGCGTCCATCGCCTGCATCAGACGCTGGAGTGCGGAGGCGGCTGCGGACGTCTACAAGGGCGCGGCTAACTGCCGCAAGCGGATGCACGGGGGGGGGCGCCACTCACACTACCCCGACATGGAGGCAGCGTTGTACCGCTACATCTGCCTTCAGCGCGCTAACGGGGTGGCCATCTCGGTGAAGGACACCCAGAAGTGGAGCCGCGAGTGGATGAAGAAGCATCACGCCGGCAAGAACTGGAACGCGAGCTCTCACTGGAGCCAGCGTTTCCGTGACCGCTGGAACCTGGTGATGCGGGTGAAGACCAAGGTCGGCCAACGACTGTCGGCATGTGCGTGTTGAAGGAATTCGTGTCGCGCGCGGGCTATTGAATGCATGTCCCTCACCCAGTTTCTAACCATCCCGTGTTTCCGTTGCGCGTGTACCGTTTGCAGAGTGCGCGAAGGACTGCGAGTCCTTCTGGAAGTTCGTGCGCATCAACAGGGCGCGGCACAACATCGACCTGGCCCGCATCATCAACGCGGACCAGACTCCACTATTCGTGGAGATGCCAGCCGAACGGACGATCGAGCACCGCGGCGCGCGCTCGGTCCCAATCCGCACTGCAGGCTACCAGAAAACGCGCTTGACGGCGATTCTCGCGTGCACTGTATCCGGGGAGAAGCTGCGGCCGTGGGTGTGGTTCAAGATGAAGAACGTCCCCAACTGTGAGATTCCGGAAGGTAAGCGTAATGAATTCAACCGTGCGACTGCCTGATGAGCGTGCCCCACTATGCTGAAGCCCGTCTGTCCCTTGTGTGCCTGGCAGGAATCGTGGTCCAAGCACAGGACAACGGGTGGATGGACGAGAGCGCTGTGCAGACCTGGCTGTCCAAGGAGGTGCTGCCCCATCTGAACCCCCAGCGCGGCCAGAACGCGAGGCGTGCGATGCTGGTGTTGGACTCCTACCGCGGTCACATCACCCAGACCATGCTTCAGTCGTACCGCACGCACAGCATCACCCCTGCAGTCATCCCAGCGGGTTGTACGAGCCAGATTCAACCCCTGGACGTCTCAATCAACCGGTGCTTCAAGGCTGCTGTGCGAGCGCGCTACGCCAGGTGGTTCATGCGTGAGGGGATTCACCTGAAGACGAAGAAGGGTGAGTTGGTCCTTCATTTATGGTATTATTCCTATTCTGTTTCCTGTCCTTGTCTTAAACATGCTCCTTCATGTCCGTGTCTCTAACATCTCGCTGCCCCGTCCTCAAACCCACCCGCAGGGAACCTGCGGAGGCCGCCCCACCCCGTGGTGCTGCAGTGGATCGTGGAGGCTTGGGATCAAGTCCCCAAGCAGATCATCATCGACGCGTTCCGCCACTGTGGGGTCTCAAGCAAGCTGGACGGAACGGAGAACCACCTGGTGATGTCTCACCTGCGCGCCAGGAGCACCACTGATGTCTCCGCGGACATGTCCCTCGGGGGGACCACAGGCGACAACACGCGCCTGCTCGGTCGGGCTCCAGAGGAGGAGGAGGAGGAGGAGGCGATGCAGGCGGAGGGCGTGCGGGAGGTGGCAGTGGCAACCGGCCTGGAGGTGCTGTACCAGGAGACCCCCAACTACCGCGGGGCGGCGGTCGAGGCTGACCGCATGATCGAGCCTAGGGAGACGGCTAGGCATGCCTGGCGAGTGCCAGACCTGGGTGTAGAGCCTGTTGTTAGCGCAGGCGAGGAGGCGGTGACTGAGGGGGGTTAGGTAGAAGTAGAGATTCATGAATGTA